CGAGAGGCAAGGAATCAGCAGTCTGCATACAGATAAGGAACATCTGTAAAACAGATGTGCACGCACCGTTGAGGTTCTGGAACAAGTCTAAAGTCCAGAGGTGGATGAACAACCAGAACTTTCTCCCGGAGTTTACAGCCGTTGAACGCGAAGAAGATTTATGAAAGACACAAAATACCAGGGCCGGTAACCACGAAAAAATTTACTTCTATACATTTACGGCGTTGTCGTTCTTTTCAAGGTGTGCTGCTAAGTGGGTGGTGTCGGTGGCAGCGTGATCAAGCTGTTTTCCTCGGGCTGTGAAGAGCATGAGGGTTTACCAGTGCGTTTTTTTAACGAATATTCATACGGATTGTCGTTGGAGCTACGGAGTTAGCTTTTTGTGGCGATTAGCCGTTGGGCGGAGATAGGCCCAGCTACCCTCTCGACTTTTCATTTTCATCTGAAGCACATCGGCGTCTGTAACTCATGCGTTGCAAACGCTTTTTGTTATACCAGGGTGCCGGGTTCGATCCCAGCTGCGGGCATTGCGTCGGTTTCGACAGTGGTATCGAGAAGCCGACCGTCCAGGAAGCAATAGCAAACTGGTTAGTTGCGTATCTTTACAGGACGTTGCAGAACCAACGCCAACAGCACCTGTTGTTTTTCTATGCAAATTTACCTCCAATAGTTTGCCATTGTTCTGGACGGTCGGCTTTCTTGATACCACTGTAGAAACCAACGCAAGGTGCATGGCCCGCAGCTGGGATCGAACCCAGCATCCCGGCATTACGAAGCGTTCGCATCGACTAAGCCACAGAGCCGACAATGGCAAACTACTGGACGTAAAATTGCCTAGAAAAACCACAACAGCCAATCAGTGCTGGGCTTGGTTCTGCAACGTCCTGAAAATGTTACGCATCTAACTTTTTAGGCAGACCTAAACTTACAATGATTGCCTACTTGTCCTTATCTATCAGGGCATCGGGAGCTGCCGTGGTGTGGCAGCTAGACGCTCGCATGCGGATCGGATGGTCGAAGTTTCAGGTCCTGATGATGCCGGACTTTGTTCAAAACAAGGACCTTGGCTCTCCAAGTCGACCCAGCCTTGAGTGGGTACATGAATAGTCCTGGGAAGTAACGGCGTCGGGCGTGTTTTTGATCACATCACCCGCCAAGTGCCGAGTGGTCCATAAAATTTAGTTCTAGCGCAGCGATTCTTAACCCGTTGGTCGTGAACCTTTTGTGGGTCGAACGACCCTTTCACGAGGGTCGCCCAAGACCATCGAAAAACACATATTGATTGAAGTTACGAAGTAGCAACTAAAATAAATTATGGTTGGGGGTCGCCACAACACGAGGAACTTTATTAAAGGGTCGCGACTTTAGGAAGTTTGAGAACCTCTGTTCTAGCGCTATATGCCAAATACACATAAAGGCGTGAAAAATGGTCCTTTACTTTCCTTATCACTGCGTCTTTCTGTTTGTTTTATTACAATGCCCAATTTGTGAACCTTTGAAAATAAAGTTTGTTCGCTCGTATGTTCCTTCTCTGGCTGCAGCGATCACTTGTTTGTGACACCGCCTTCTTCAGAATATGCCCCCTCAGAATCAAAGAGTTATCACTAACATTTCTTTGCTTTTGCTGGAATAACTACCAGTTTATTAATACACGTTATTGATGTTTATGTTCATGTTGACTGAAGCAAAAACATTTTTGTTTGTCTGTCTATAATTCGTTAAAATATGTTGGCAAATTAATGAAACAAGACTAATCTGTGTATACATCTCCTCGATAAAAACTGTGAACACAGTGCGGTCCCTCGATTTGCACAAGAACCGGAATCCCCGTTGACCTAGTTGGCCTATAAAAAGAGTCGGCTGTGTTTTGTGATATTATGAAGCCGACTGTTTCTACTTATCGTTTCATTTCATATCTTTTCATACAAAAGTTTTAGAACGCTGTTCTGAATGACAAATGTGTGATTGTGTTGTGTTGTATTTGACAAAAAACGCACCTTGCCGTTACTCTACGACAAGGCTGTTCTGTTCAATTAAGTTTAGTTGGAGGCCCAGGTCGACTTGAGTGGGTATTAGGTGCAGCCATGGGAAGTGAAGGCGGCCGATGTGATGTTGACCACATCACCCACCAGGTGCCGATTGGTATGTAAAATATGGGTCTAGTCGTATATGCCCAATACGCTTGAAGGCGGGACCAAAACTGTGAGGGGAAAAAATGTTTGCCACCGACCAGGGGCCAGAACCCAAGCATATTGTTTGTTTGTTTAGTATCCAGAAGCCATGAGTTGTTAACCCTTAGGCTCGGTATTATGGATATCGCAACCTTTCGGCCTTGATTCCATTTTAAATACCGTAAATCTGGGAGAAATGCGGCTTTTCTGCCCACCCCCGGGCGTGAACCCGGACCACAAGGAGTTCGTCACCCGCTTACCGCGCAATCCGGTTTAGCCAACTACGCTAGAGAGACGGGCAACCCAAGCATATAAAGATCATCAATACAATACAACTGACAATGATCCGCGGCCCATTGCTAGGTCTCGGTGGGCCAGATTTGACCCTTAGGCCATCAGTTCAGTAGCTGTGCTCTGCGATTGTTAGTGACCTGCAAGCTAATTTTCTGTATATTTTATTTCTCTCCAGATCTGTCAACACTCTCATGCAGAGATGAGATCTTGGGGCGCCGAGGCGGTGACCTCGCTTGTCAAAGCTGCCCTCGCCCACAAATTTGATCCGCCACTGCACGAAAACTTGGTGAGTTCCAGTTTTTAATGTTTTTATTTTTATGTTGAAATTATAGACATTGTGGTATTAGAAAGTGGAAGAATAGGCCTCAGTTTGAATAATGGGAAGGCAGAAGTAATGGTGGTATCAAAGAAACGAATTATTCCTAAATGTGTAATAAAAGTCGATAGTGTTATTTTGGGACAAGTACAGAGATGTAAGTATATGGACACAAGGATAACATCAGTTGGAAGATGCATAACTGAGATAAGAAACAGAACAGGACAGGCAAAAACTGCATTTTATAAAATGAAGAAAATCTTGTGCAATATATCATTGTCATTGAGAGTTAAAAAAAGAATTCTTGCTTGCTACATACATCCAGTTTTAACATATGGATGTGAATCCTGGACAATTGGTAGGCAGGCCAAAAAATTTCTTGAGGCCTCAGAGAGGCGGAAGCCCAAACACAACTTATCACATATATCAGAAGGAGACAATCATCATTTTTCCGGTCATGTTATGAGAAGAGGGAAAATAGAACAAGTTGTGACCAATGGAAAGATCTGTGGAAGGAGGGATAGAGGAAGACAACGAGAGAAGATGCTTGACAGTCTTGTTGCTGGAGGTGTGTCGGCACACGAACTGATACATGCTGCAGGAGATCGCAGATGTGGAGAGGCATGATCGCCCACGCCAGTCAGCAAGGTACCTGATGATGATGTGTATCCCAGACTATGTTCAGAATTATCACAATCAGAACCCACCCACACCGGACTAGAGGTTACTTCGTAACTGATTTGTGGAGCCCCAGTATAATTGTGCAATAACTGTCAGCAGGCGGCCGGTCGTTCTGCTGGAGAAACACACCAGAGACCTCCTAGTCATATGGAATACACCAGCTGCAATTAGGTCGATCCTTTTGACTTTAACTTTGAAGTGGCGACCTCAACTTGCACATCGATCGACCGAGTGTTTTATTATCCCCTTCAGACTGCTATCTAAAGGTTTACCCTAACTTACTGAGACAGCTAGATGTCATTCTGAATGGCAAACTAGCAGGGCAGATCCTTGATACCCCTTTCAACCTCCATAAAGGTTACAATTAGGGTCATCGAAACGGCGACAAAAGCCAGGTATAACCCGAGGTCCAGTGCAGGTAAGGACCTTATACAGACCTTTGTTTGAAAAGATCGATTGTGGTTTTGATTCTTTCCCCCCACAGCGATTGCAGTCGTCCATTCTGTCTCCTCTGCAAGAGCTGTCCTCCATCTCATACAACGACATCCGTCAGAAACAGTTGGAGAGCGTCTCTTACATACTTCAGAACAACGGGAACAGTCTTCTTCACGGATGGCCAACTGTCCTCGGAGTCATTGGAGCTGTGGCTAAAGAGCATGGGTAAATTTTTCTGAACAAATTTTGTTTGCCTTTAGTGACGATATCTAGACTACACTGCCCAGGACTTCTCACATCTTCCAAGGAGTATCCTGGTCACAAGAAATTCCCCAGTGGTCTGAGAAACTTTGAGTTTTTAGTTAAAAAGCATGATAAAGAGTTTGCAAAACATGGGATGGCATTAGTGGTCCTGAAATCCTGTGCTGTAATTGTGAAATAAATGAGCGGGTCTTATTGTGATTCCTATGCCTCTATTGCAAATTTTACAGAGATTTTTTGGGGGTCGTTGCTGGAGCTGTGCAGTTCATGTTTTTTTCTACAGAGAGAGAGACTGAGCCTATAGAATAAAAACCCCGAGGCAATAAAGACAGTCGTCTCAACTGTTTAAAAAATATATAACTTTATCATCTGGAAAGACGAAATAAATATTGAGGATAAATTTTTGTTTAAGATGAACCAACAGGGTCAAAGAAATAAAGGCAGATTGAAAAAACAACAACAAAAAAACTGTGGTAGCAAAGGAAAAGACAACTTTGAGTGTTTTTAGGTTTTTGCTGATGGCTTTCAAGACGCTATTCTTTAAAGAAATGTCTCCTATAGATACAGACATCCAGGATAATCAGCTATTAAATTGAGAACATAATAAATTCACTGTTTTAATGACACAATGTTTATAGGATTATCTAAATATGTATTTTACAATTTCTGTCTTAATCACAATCCAGCAAGGTGTAAACAAAGCAGTATTTGAAACAGTAATTCACATTACATAATTGTCCTAAATAAATGATGACATGATACATAAAATATCAAATATCTTCTTCTTCTTCTTCTTCACGTTCACCAGCTGTACACTCTGGCGGAAAGTTCTGGTTGCTCGTCCACTGCTGAACTGCAGTGCTGCTCCAGAACCTGAGTGTTGCGTGTGCATCAGTTTTACAGATCTCATTCTCTTGAAAACAGACTGTTAATTCCTTGCCTCTCCGGCAGATGCACTCCGACTTCAAAGGAAGCTACACAATTAGTCGACTCTTACGACATGCTTTTGGGGAGGCAGTGGGTCTATTCTTGTTTTCCCCTACAATGGGGCCCCGGAACCCACACGGGGGAATAATCAAATATATTAGCTCTGAACATTCATTGAACACTTTATATCCCAGTTATAATTCTGACGGTTGATTAGGAAATTTTTATGAAAATTGCTACAACTTTGGTCAGTTTGGGGGGAAAAAGGAGGAGGAGGAGAACAAGAAGAAGATATTTGCAGCATAGAAGAATAAAGATGATGATGATGATGATAATACTAATAATAATAATAATAATAATAATAATAAGATAACTACAGCCAGGGAGAAAGAGGAGAAGAATAATAATAATAATGAAATAATTGCAGCACAGAAGAATGAGGAGAATAATAAAAACAGTAATAACGAGAAGATAATTGCAGCATAAAAGAATGAAGAGACTAATAATAATATCGAAAAGAAGAATAAGATAATTGCAGCGTTGAACAACTAGAAATATGATAACAAGATAATTGCAGCATAAAAGAATGAAGAGAATAATAATAGCAATAATAAGAATAAGATAATTGCAGCGTTGAACAACTAGAAATATGATAATAAGATAATTGCAACATAGAAGAATGAAGAGAATAATAGTAATCATATTGATAATTAGAGCAATAATAATAATAACAACAACAACAATGGGAAGAAGAAGAAGACAAATTAAAGATTCTGTCATTGTCATTTGATCTAATCTTGAAGTATGATATCCATGTCAGTGAGTGTTGTCATTGTCATTTGATCCAATCTTGAAGTATGATATCCATGTCAGTGAGTGTTGTTATTGTCATTTGATCCAATCTTGAAGTATGATATCCATGTCAGTGAGTGTTGTCATTTGATCCAATCTTGAAGTATGATATCCATGTCAGTGAGTGTTGTCATTTGATCCAATCTTGAAGTATGATATACATGTCAGTGAGTGTTATTATTTGATCCAATCTTGAAGTATGATATCCATGTCAGTGAGTGTTGTCATTTGATCCAGTTTTGAAGTATGATATCCATGTCAGTGAGTGTTATCATTTGATCCAATCTTGAAGTATGATATCCATGTCAGTGAGTGTTGTTATTTGATCCAATCTTGAAGTATGATATCCATGTCAGTGAGTGTTATTATTTAATCCAATCTTGAAGTATGATATCCATGTCAGTGAGTGTTGTCATTTGATCCAATCTTGAAGTATGATATCCATGTCAGTGAGTGTTGTCATTTGATCCAATCTTGAAGTATGATATCCATGTCAGTGAGTGTTGTCATTTGATCCAATCTTGAAGTATAATATCCATGTCAGTGAGTTTTGTAATTTGATCCAATCTTGAAGTATGATATCCATGTCAGTGAGTATTGTCATTTATACCAGTCTTGAAGTATGATATCCATGTCAGTGAGTGTTGTCATTTGATCCAATCTTGAAGTATGATATCCATGTCAGTGAGTGTTGTCATTTGATCCAATCTTAAAGTATGATATCCATGTCAGTGAGTGTTGTCGTTGCTTTCATCCCCAGAGAGAAGCTCATCCAGCAAGCCTTCCAGTGTCTGCAGTTGGTGGTCACCGACTTCTTGCCCATCATTAGACCTGCCTACCTGCAGGTTGTGGTCCAGGTGGCAGCCAAATTTGGGCTTCAACAACAGGAGCTCAATGTCAGCCTGACAGCCATTGGATTGCTGGTAAGGTTTGAACTTTGGTAGCTGGTCTGGGAGGGAAGGCTGTGACAGGTGTCAGGCACAGTACTTATTCTCTAATCCGGTAGCTTCTTCCCTCTTTTTTTAACAAGTGTGTTGTTGTTTCCTTTGGAGTAAAGAAAGAAGGTCGAGTGAGGGATCATGCTGCGAAGGCAACAGGTAATCTCAACAATGTTGCCCAGGTTTTTTGGTATGGACAGGAAGAAGTTCATCCATGGCTCTAATTCCTAATTACCATGAGCTGTGATCTCCATGTCTTCCTGTATCAGAATATATCATCTGGAAAGTTAGAGGCAAGCAAGAACTAAACTCAGCATTTATGTTTCAAGGGTTTAGTATAACTGCCGGTGGTAGGTTTTCATGATTGATGTACTTGGTTCTGAAACATTACCTTTTTTTGAAGAAAAAAAAAGGGGGGGGGGGGGGGTTACTTGGAATAACTGTGGAAACTGTATATGTCTGTTTAATTTGATGTGGCAGTGGGAGACTAGATTGTCTGATTTCATTTGGTGTGGCTGTTGAAGACTATACGTGTGTGGTGTATTTAGTGTGGCTGTTGAAGACTACACATGTGAAATATATTTGGTGTGGTTGTGGGAGACTAGATTGTCTGATTTCATTTGGTGTGGCTGTTGGAGACTATACGCGTGTGGTGTATTTAGTGTGGCTGTTGGAGACTACACATGTGAAATATATTTGGTGTGATTGTGGGAGACTACACATGTGTGATGTATTTGGTGTGGCTGTGGAAGAGTACACATGTGTGATATATTTGATGTGGTTGTGGGAGACTACACATGTGTGATGTTTTTGATGTAGCTCTGGAAGAGTACATATGTCTGATGTATTTGATGTGGTTGAGGGAGACTAACCATGTTTAGTGTAAGTGGAGTATCTGAGTTAGATAGCACAGATTTGTTGTACTTGTAGTATCTGAGGAGATCACACATGTCTGATGTAACTGGAATATGTGTGGAAGATCACACATGTATTGTGTAACTAAAGTATTAATTAGAGATCACACATGTATGGTGTAATTGGAAGTATCTATTGGAAATCACACATGTATGGTGTAACTGAAGTATCTATGGGAGATCACACATGTATGATATAACTGAAGTATCTATGGGAGATCACGCATGTATGATGTAACTGAAGTATTAATGGGAAATCACACATGTATGGTGTAACTAAAGTGTCAGTGGCTGATCACGCATGTATGGTGTAACTGGAAAATCTATGGCAGATCACACATGTATGTTGTAATTGGAATATTTATGGGAGATCCCACATGTATGATGTAAATGGAAGTATGTTGGAAATCACACATGTATGGTGTAACTGAAGTATCTATGGGAGAACACACATGTATGGTGTAACTAGAAAATCTATGGGAGATCACACATGTATGTTGTAACTGGAATATCTATGGGAGATCACACATGTATGTTGTAACTGAAGTATCTATGGGAGACCACACATGTATGGTGTAACTGAAGTATTAGTGGAAGATCACAAGTGTATGAAGTAACAGGAATATTTATTGGAAATCACACATTTATGGTGTAACTAAAGTATCTATGGGAGATCACACATGTATGATGTAACAGGAATATTTATTGGAGATCACACATTTATGGTGTAACTAAAGTATCTATGGGAGATCACACCTGTATGATGTAACAGGAATATTTATTGGAGATTACACATGTATGTTGTAACTGAAGTATCTATGGGGGACCACACATATATGGTGTAACTGAAGTATTAGTGGGAGATCACAAGTGTATGAAGTAACAGGAATATGTATGGAAGATCACACATGTATGATGTAACAGGAATATTTATTGGAGATCACACATTTATGGTGTAACTAAAGTATCTATGGGAGATCACACCTGTATGATGTAACAGGAATATTTATTTAAGATCACTCATGTATGTTGTAACTGAAGTATCTATGGGAGATCATACATGTATGGTGTAACAGGAATATTTATTGGAGATCACACATGTGTAACAGGGTACATTTTAAAGAGGGGATAGAGAAGAAGAGGGGACATATAAAAGTAGAGAGAGAGACAGACGAAAAGAAATAATAGTTAAAGGATGTATAAGAGGACAATATTTTCTCCTGTGTGGAGAGTGAAGTAATAAGTCTACATCCTAAACGATCAGGTAATAGTCAGGGGAGGTATGAAGGAGAGTAGTATAGGGAAGTGGTGGTATATAATGACTACAGCAACTAACAATAATAGTACCACTCCTACACTCAACAAACTGACGATTGAATAAAAGAATAACAACTAACAATCATGTTTATTTAGAACCAGAATTACAAAGTCGTATATCTCATATTACACAACCAAGATCAACCTAATCCAAAGATGTTATACTAAGTTATAAAACAGTCTATCGTTCATTGCAACTGACAGCCGAATCTACTCTGTTCAATGATAAACTAGCAAGTGACTTCTAAAATCTCCTTCATTGCTATTAATAATTTATTACCAATTAGCCAACTAGATACGTCTACAAATAAAGAGCCAAATACCGACTACAATCTAATCATACTGCCGATTGCAGTCTAGAGACCATCTACCCTATAGCCAAATACCGACTACCATCTAGCCATACTCCTGCTTGCAGTCCAGAGACCATCTACCATATAGCGAACCCAGTACAACCATGACAGAAACTGCCATGTCACATAACATTCATAAATGTTTCATGCATTATCTGGCAAGTTCCACAACAGAAGGAAGTATGGACTTAGCTCCATCGTATAGACAGCATCCGAAAATGGGTTTATTCGCCCACAACAACCCTTCATTGGCGGCGGTCTCAGCACAAGGGTCTCCCTGCATACTCGCTGGCAGTGTATATACTCCTCATGCTACTAGGTTCTACCTCTCTCCTTTGTACCTGTGTTCATGAAACTGTGTCTTCTAGGTTCATTAACCTTTCTCTTTCCTGCCAAAGAGGGGTTTCCAAGCCACTTTGCATAATTGGATGGAAAAACCCCAGGAAATCTTTGTTGGTCCTGCCTCTTTAAATTTATGATAGGAATAGTCGACCAGTTAACCTTCACTTGCATTTATTTGTAAGTTTTATCTCCACATTAGCCCCAAAGTTTCTAGGTCATTGACTTTAGATGCCCTATGGTAAACGTTTAACAGAAACTTTAAGTTCATTGACTCTTGTCTAAACTTATCCTTTGTGTGGCTGGGTCTTACTAGGGCCACACATGTATGATGTAACAGGAATATTTATTGGAGATCACACATGTATGGTGTAATTGAAGTATCTATGGGAGATCACACATGTATGATGTAACAGGAATATTTATTGGAGAGCACACATGTATGGTATAACTGAAGTATCTATGCGAGATCACACATGTATGATGTAACAGGAATATTTATTGGAGATCACACATGTATGGTATAACTGAAGTATCTATGCGAGATCACATATGTATGGTGTTCTTGTTATATCTGTGGAGGGTAAACAAGTACAGTATACTTGCAGTCACTGAAGGAGACTACATATGTATGGTGTCCTTTGAGTGTCCGCAGGAAATCATTAACGTATGCTGTAGCTGTACTTGACGTAAATTTGAGAGATCACGCACTTATGATGTATTGGAATGACATTAGAAGATTATATCTTCCTAGGCACAGTCTACCATTTTATATTTTGTGCAATGTGTTCTTTTAAATTGTAAAGCTAGATGAATTCTCCCACTGAAATCATATATTTTTGTTTCCTTCACAGTGGAACATCTCCGACTTCTTCTTCCAAAATCGACAGCGCATCAAACAAGACCTGGATGCCACTGCTGACTCTGACCATATCCAGTCAGAAAACCCAGCCAGTGGGGATAAAATAAAAAACCCGCCTCCTTTTGATGCCCTGTGGATGTGCCTGTTCTCCCAGCTGGGAGAGCTGTGCGTGGACTCACGACCGGCTGTGAGGAAAAGTGCTGGCCAGACCCTCTTCTCCACCATCTCAGCACATGGCAGCCTGCTGCAGCACCAGACCTGGCATAATGTCCTGTGGCAGGTAAAGTATATCAGACAGAATCAAAACAGTGCCATCTCTACAGTGGACAGAATAAAAACAGTGCCATCTCCACAGTGGAGAGAATAAAAACAGTGCCATCTCCACAGTGGAGAGAATAAAAACAGTGCCATCTCCACAGTGGAGAGAATAAAAATAGTGCCATCTCCACAGTGGAGAGATTAAAAACAGTGCCATCTCCACAGTGGACAGAATAAAAACAGTGCCATCTCCACAGTGGACAGAATAAAAACAGTGCCATCTCCACAGTGGAGAGAATAAAACAGTGCCATCTCCATAGTGGAGAGAATAAAAACAGTGCCATCTCCACAGTGGACAGAATAAAAAACAGTGCCATCTCCACAGTGGAGAGAATAAAAACAGTGCCATCTCCACAGTGGAGAGAATAAAAAACAGTGCCATCTCCACAGTGGAGAGAATAAAAACAGTGCCATCTCCACAGTGGAGAGAATAAAAACAGTGCCATCTCCACAGTGGACAGAATAAAAACAGTACCATCTCCACAGTGGAGAGAATAAAAACAGTGCCATCTCCACAGTGGACAGAATAAAAACAGTGCCATCTCCACAGTGGACAGAATAAAAAACAGTGCCATCTCCACAGTGGACAGAATAAAAAACAGTGCCATCTCCACAGTGGACAGAATAAAAACAGTGCCATCTCCACAGTGGAGAGAATAAAAACAGTGCCATCTCCACAGTGGACAGAATAAAAACAGTGCCATCTCCACAGTGGACAGAATAAAAAACAGTGCCATCTCCACAGTGGAGAGAATAAAAACAGTGCCATCTCCACAGTGGACAGAATAAAAACAGTACCATCTCCACAGTGGAGAGAATAAAAACAGTGCCATCTCCACAGTGGACAGAATAAAAACAGTGCCATCTCCACAGTGGAGAGAATAAAAAACAGTGCCATCTCCACAGTGGACAGAATAAAAAACAGTGCCATCTCCACAGTGGACAGAATAAAAACAGTGCCATCTCCACAGTGGAGAGAATAAAAAAACAGTGCCATCTCCACAGTGGACAGAATAAAAACAGTGCCATCTCCACAGTGGACAGAATGAAAAACAGTGCCATCTCCACAGTGGAGAGAATAAAAAACAGTGCCATCTCCACAGTGGACAGAATAAAAAACAGTGCCATTTCCACAGTGGAGAGAATAAAAAACAGTGCCATCTCCACAGTGGACAGAATAAAAACAGTGCCATCTCCACAGTGGACAGAATAAAAAACAGTGCCATTTCCACAGTGGAGAGAATAAAAAACAGTGCCATCTCCACAGTGGACAGAATAAAAACAGTGCCATCTCCACAGTGGAGAGAATAAAAAACAGTGCCATTTCCACAGTGGAGGGAAGCTGCTGTCTGTGGAAATACTACGGGGTGAGACCCGGGCTGAGGAATTTTGCCCATGAAAAACATCATGATGACCCGGAGAAAATGGTAATGGAGGGTAGAGTTTCTGAAAACAAAAGATAAGCAGACCTCCCTGTAGAGGATACAAAATAATGAGGATGCATTAACAAGAAACCACTATAGGACTTGAGAAGTGGCTGGAGATTGACTTTCTGACATGCCATGGCGAGAGCAACATTCTGTAAAGCATCTGATGAATGATGATGAGACTCAGTCTCTTCTACTGTTCCTGTCTCATACCACTGTACCAGTCTCATACCACCGTACCTGTCTCATACCACTGTACCTGTCTCATACCACTGTACCTGTCTCTTACCACTGTACCTGTCTCATACCACTGTACCTGTCTCTTACCTCTGTACCTGTTTCATACCACTGTACCTGTCTCACACCACTGTACCTGTCTCTTACCACTGTACCTGTCTCATACCACTGTACCTGTCTCATACCACTGTACCTGTCTCTTACCTCTGTACCTGTCTCATACCACTGTCTGAAAGTGACAAGAGTGAACTTTTTCAAAACCTCCCACCACGGGAATCAAACAATTTAAATGTTGAGGACCTCATTGTGAAACCAGTTTTCTAACCTCTAATCCACAAGGTTGCACAGTTCTACAATCAGTTAAACACAGTCCATTTCTACAATCAGTTAGACACAGTCCATTTCTACAATCAGTTAGACACAGTCCATTTCTACAATCAGTTAGACACAGTCCATTTCTACAATCAGTTAGACACAGTCCATTTTATAAGGATTTTTTTTTGGTAGCACTACAGCTACATTGGCAGGTTAAACCCACATTCTTAGAGATTAGATTTGATTTATCTGACGCTGTCAACTGGACATATAATGTTTTGTGTTTCAGTAGTTAAGGAGAAGCAAATATTTTAAATCAGTACTTCTTCTTATAAAATGGGTACCAGGATGGGTGTCCTGGGGAAGTAAAGACGACAGGTGTAATGCTGACCACATTACCCACCTAGTGCCGATAGGTCTGTAAAAATATGGGTACTCTTCCCATATATCCGATACGCCTAAAGGCGTGAAAAGGGGATCTGTACTTTTACTTTACTTACTTCTTCTTTACTTCCTCTTTTACGGCTTTGTGTATCATTGGAAGTTTTTGCTTTTCTCCCCGCCTCAGCCATAAACACATTGTATTGTTGTCGAGTTTCTCTTATGTTATCTTCTTCCATCTTATTACTTTTTTCTTTCTTCTTTTTATATTGGCCTTTTATGGTTGTGGCATCACAAAGTATTCTCTCTAAGTGGGCTGACCATTTTATTTGCTGTCTTTGTGTGTTATTTAGTAGGTCACTCTTGATTATTTTAGTTTAGTGGTAATGTTATTTTGTTTGCAAGGAGACTGCACACACACTGCACACACACCCGCATGAGCACATGCACATGCGTGCATGCATGCACACACACACAACCTATAGTGAAGGAATACATGCGCCTCATACTACAATCAAATTTCATTTTATTTACAAAGCATTTTGTCAACGATGTTTATAAAAGGATAAGTTTACATTGTCTTTCACCCCCAGGTGTTGTTCCCACTTCTTGAGAATGTTCAGAAATACTCAAGCTCAGCTTCTACAACGAGAGACAAAGAATCCACAGGCAACATCCTTATCCACCACTCGCGGGATACGGCAGAGAAGCAATGGGCAGAGACTCGAGTGCTATCCCTCGCTGGTGTCGCTCGTACTTTCAATGCTAAACGAAAGATGTTGCAAGGACTAGGTATGTACATAGTTGTGTTTGACACTATACTTGCTGCTGTTTTTTGCGTGATGAGCTGCACACACACACGCTTATAGTGTTTATAACAGACTCCTAAAGTATACTGAGAAAGGTAGAGACGGGCATGTTTCATGCTGAGTGGTAGGCACATTTTTTTTACTATGCCAGTCAAAGTTGATGAACCTCTAAAGACACCGAATGCAAGTTCAATGCATTAAAAAAGAAAGGCTTGATGAAACTGGTAAACATAAAATAAGAGAAGTGAAGAAATAAGAAAATTGTCTGTTCAACTGCTAGTTTCAGCAGTTATAACCAGAGAAGTGGCCCTATATTGGACACATTCTGAGAAAAAAATGAACAAAGAAACACCAAACAGGCACTGTAATGGGAAACAGAAGGCTGAGGAAATGGAAACATCCAAAAGAAACCGTAAGGCAGATGTTAATGAGAGAAGCCAAAGTGTTGGACTGGATTTAGTCGATGATAACAAAACAATTGAACATGATAGAACAGAATGGAGGAGTGGTGAGCCCTATGTGACATATAAGAGCACACAGGACAAGGTCAAGGCCCTTTGGGAACAAGCAACGAATCAGTAGAGGAAGAAGATTATTATGGCCTGGAGAGAATGAGGCACCTGGGTGTAACCAGAGGGTCTGGCCGGCTGACTACACTCAGAGGAAAGGCAAGATGGACTTTTAACCAGATTGTGACCGGTACCATCAGTATTGGAACTCTGCGCTGGCTGCTGGAGTTGAGGACAGAGCATGTATGGGAATCCCCTGAGTGCTGTGATGTCAATTCTTGACTCAACTCAACTCAACACACAGGACAATGAATTCATGAATGAATGAAGTTTTCTAATCATAGTTATTTTTTAAGTATGCATTAAAGTTATATAAATACTTATTGATATCATCTCAACTGCTGTCACTATTTATTGGCATCATTGGCTTTTATTCTGTGTAAAGATTAGGATGATAATTTTTTTAACATGTCACAGCTTTGTAAAGATAACTACATTATTTCCATATCTTTAGGCATTGTGGGTGTATGGTGTTAACCATATTTTTACTGAATTGTCATCTGTTAACTTGTGAGGTCTTTTCTCAATTTCAGGAGACTTTCCCAGAGCTTGGTCATTGCTTCTCGATCACATTGAACTATCAGCCCTGTGCAGGAATGCAGAAGTTTCCTTAGCAGCCCTGAAAAGCTTTCAAGAAATTCTGCAAATTGGCAGAACTTCCAAGAGTCTTGATGAACCTGATATCATGGGCCAGGGAATAGCTGTAGTGGAGCCGCATGGGGAGGTCATGAGCAGAACAGGGGAGGTAACTGCCAACAAGAAACCAGAGTTGTTTTCCAAAGGACCAATATCTGACTCAACAGATAATGATATCCCTTTGTGGTCAGCAGCTTGGAAAGTATGGCTAAATATTGGGGCAGAAGTGACCAAGCCACCAAAACAGGATGTAAAGATGTCAGGCAAAGTTTATCTACCCTCTCAGAATTTCCTTACTGCTCTCATACAGACCTTTCCTCCTTTGTTTGAGCACATCAAATCCCGATTTGTGGCAGCAGACCTCCACAAACTGTCGTCTGTCCTCAGAGGAACCTTATGTGTTCCAGTCCAAAACGATGCTTCCCTGTTTATAATCCCATCTTACTCAGAGGTCACTCTGACTCCTCTGCAAGAAGCTTCCCTTGCTGCCATGGATACCCTAATCAAGGTGGGTTTGAACATTGTCTCTCTTGTTTTTGGTTGTTGAAGTGAACATTTACAGGCTTTGTATCCACAGTCTCCTTATGGGTTCCAGAGCTCTCCATTAGGAAGACAAAGAATAGTATCTACAGCTCCTCCCCCCTTTTTCAACAAGCATGTCATAAAAGGAAACTAATTAACGATGTTGCCTTCAGAGTTGGAGTGCATCTTTCTGAAAGGCGAGGAACCAACAGCCTGCATACAAATAAACCAGATTTGTTTAGTGGATGTGCATGCAAAACTCAATTTCTGGAACAAGATCAAAGTCCAGAAGTGACAAACAACCAGAACATTCTGCCAGAATTTACAGCCGGTGAACCCTAAGGAGAAGAAGAAGAATCTCTGTCAACAATTTTTTTTTAATTCATGGCCTCTCTAAAACAGGGCTATTCAACTGGCAGCATGCGGGCCAGATCTGGCCTGCGGAGGCTTAGCAAGTGGCCCGCGGATCATTGCCAGTTGTATTGCATTAATGATCTTTCTACGCTAAGGTTTACCCTCTGGCCCGTGACGATCCTCATTTTCCAGATTTTGGCCCCTCTGTAAACTTAGTTGAAAAGTCCTGCTCTAAAACATCATATACAATTTATTTTTTACTTCCACAGAGTGTGAGGTAGTCTTCTATATATACATACCTCTGGTTCCTCAGTTTGACTTTCTGCTTTCTTTTTTTCATGACTTGACTCATCATCATCATCATGTTGTGCCATTACAGTCCAAACCTGATAAAGAGAACTTACCAGATACCCAAGAAATGGTTCTTTTTTGCCAGAAATACCTCTTATCCACATAAGAGTTTGAGGATATGGTAATGCATTTACAACCTACAAAATGGTAATGAATTAGTGTTCAGTACAACAAATTTTGGTGTGTCAAATTCCTTTGCTATTTCCATTTTTTTTGGGGCCACTGTTTACCACTTTTTGTAATAGCCCAATATTTTTTTCAAAGGTATAGATTTTAACTTTCTAGCCATTTATAGAAAGGAAATACTTAAATTCTAAGACTGATGAACTGCACAATTTCCAAAAATAGTCAAAAAGTTGTACTAAAGAAATGGTTTGTCATAAGCAGATCAAATTATACAGATAGGAAAAGTTTAATCATTCAGCATATCCACAAATATGTGATACACTGATTCCACCTAACCGGATATATTTTGTTTTTTCACAAAAAAATAACAAGAAAAATTGCCGGGGATAATCAGATTGTTCTTCATAACAGAAATTTGCCACATCTGAGATCGCCATAAGCAGTCTGCACTGAATCTGTCACCTATGACTCTTCTCAGTCTATTCATTCATTCTGTTCTATGCTCTGCAAACTTGACTCATAAAAATATATGTTCATGAAAAACTTGCCCTTAAAGCTGGCTGACCAAAATTTTGTTTTGCTGTTCCCACCAATAGGCTGTGCAGAGTGGGCCGGACACAATGCAGGCAACATACCCAGACATCTTCCAACAGCTGCTGACGTTTATCACCTTTGGAGTGTCGGCTCCCAAGTATGGAGAGCTGGAGGCACGGTCTTTTGGGGTTGTGAGAGGCCCACAGGTAGACCAGAGTGCTTGGTTGTGTGTGGAATTTCACATGTTTATTTCAACCCTGATTTACTGTTTTACATGTGCGTCTGTCTGTCTGTCTGTCTGTCTGTCTGTCCGTCCGTCCGTCCGTCCGTCCGTCCGTCTGTCTGTCTGTCCGTCCGTCCGTCCGTCCGTCCGTCCGTCCGTCTGTCTGTCCGTCTGTCTGTCTGTCTGTCTGTCTGTCTGTCTGTCTGTCTGTCTGTCTGTCTGTCTGTCTGTCTGTCTGTCCGTCCGTCCGTCCGTCCGTCCGTCTGTCTGTCTGTCTGTCTGTCTGTGTGTCTGTCTGTATGTCTGTCTGTCTATCTGTCACTGTATGTCTCTCTGTCTATCTGGCACTGTGTGTCTGTATGTCTTTCTGTCACTGTGTGTCTGTATGTCTGTCTGTCTGTGTCTGTCTATCTGTCTCTCTGTCTGCCTGTCTGTCTGATGTCTGTCTGTCTGTGTGTGTGTCTGTCTGTCTGTGTGTCTGTCTGTCTGTCTGCCTGCCTGTCTGTCTATCTGTCTCTGTGTGTCTGTATATCTGTCTTTCTGTCGGTCTGTCTGTCTGTCTTCCTGCCTGCCTGTCTGTCTATCTATCTGTCTGTCTGTGTCTGAGAGTGAGAGATTTTTAAATGTCATTGTAAATTTTCCAAGGTTCCCCTTTTGTTATGAACGCACAAAATAAAGCATGTTATTTTGAAAGGACTATGGGTATGAGGCCCATCTTACTTTTGCATATTCTAATATCCCATCTTTCGAACAGAACACTAATAAAGCATGTTATGATGATATGATAAAATTACGTATCATATGGAGCGTTACAGCATGGGCATTACACTTTCAACACATAAAATATTGGAGCTTCAATTCTGAGTGAATATTTTCCTAAGCTAAAATGTTAACCTGAAAATTTTTTAGTAGTACAAGGACATTGAACAGCGTGAAGATTAACTTAATTGTAAAGCATTTTATCCCAAATGGCTTAGTCTCTCTCTCTCTCTCTCTCTCTCTCTCTCTCTCTCTCTCTCTCTCTCTCTCTCTCTCTCTCTCTCTCTCTCTCTCTCTCTCTCTCTCTCTCTCTCTCTCTCTCTCTCTCTCTCTCTCTCTCTCTCTCTCTCTCTCTCTCTCTCTCTCTCTCTCCTCTCTCTCTCTCCTCTCCTCTCTCTCTCTCTCTCTCTGCTGACTCTTTGTCTGCCTCAAGTGTTAAACAAAGCATGCAACCCAGTAGCTACAATTACTCTCAGGGATCTCTGGTACACCTTTACTAATAAACCAAAGTATAGAGTACAAAGTTGAACCCACAAGTACAAAGTTGAACCCATGAGTACAAAGTTGAACCCACAAGTCCAAAGTTGAACCCACGAGTACAAAGTTGAACCCACGAGTACAACTTTGAACCCACGAGTATAAAGTTGAACCCACGAGTCCAAAGTTGAACCCACGAGTACAAAGTTGAACCCACGAGTAGAAAGTTGAACCTACGAGTACAAAGTTGAACCCACGAGTCCAAAGTTGAACCCACGAGTCTAAAGTTGAACCCACGAGTACAAAGTTGAACCCACGAGTACAAATTTGAACCCACGAGTACAAAGTTGAACCAACGAGTCTAAAGTTGAACCCACGAGTACAAAGTTGAACCCACGAGTCCAAAGTTGAACCCACGAGTAAAAAGTTGAACTCACGAGTCCAAAGTTAAACCTACGAGTACAAAGTTGAACCCATGAGTACAAAGTTGAACCCACGAGTACAAAGTTGAACCCACGAGTACAAAGTCAGGAGCTTAGCTACTTGACCATGGCCAGCCTTATTCTGATTTCTTAAATACTTCATGTTTATGCATGTTTCAGTCGGACTGGGTGATCATGAACTTTGTGCCTTTTGCGGAAAGAGCAGTCACAATGACAGTTGATTTGTATCGAGCAACTGCCTCTCACCCAGCTGTGATCAAGGCTCAGATTTTGCAGGAGATACTTAGGGTATGTTGATTTTCTGATGTGCTTTCTCTGATAGAAATATCATTGGTGTCTGTGGCTTAGGCGTTGAAAATGCGCTTTGTAATGTCAGTGTGCTGGGTTCAATCCCAGCTGCAGGCCTTGCATTTGTTTTGACAGTAGTATCAAGAAGCTGACCGTCCAGAAAGCAATGACAAACTACTCGACATCAATTTGCTTAGAAAAACAAAAACAGCCAAAAAATGCTGTGGTTGGTTCGGCAAAGTCCTGTAAGAGATACACAACTTTTAACTGGATAGAAATATCATCATCATCATAGTCCTTTAACATTGCGTGTCTTTGGGTCACCAGTTGCTGTTGATTGTTTGATCAGCTTCCTCCATCCCTGTTGGTCAGATGCAGTGGACTTGATGTTTACCTGTATGAGGCCTGTCCATTCTGTCAGATTCTTTATCCAGTTTTCTCTTGGTCTACCTCTTCCTTCTCCTCCTCCGTTCCCCCCCCCCCCCCCCCATCCCCCTAACAGCCATTAGTATCATTTTTTTGAGGCCGATTGTTCTTATTGCATGTCCCATTGCATTTTCCTTTTTTTGACTGTTATTTAAAGAGTTTCAATGTTGTCTGTGTGTAGAGTAAACTTCGTCATTTTTTATGTGGTCTCTCTAGGGTATACACAGGATCCTTCAAAAAGATCTCATTTATAGAAATATCTGTCATCACAATACACATACACACACACAACACACATACACACACACACACACACACACTATGATTGCATTGTATTGTTCATTGATCAAAAAATGATTAGTGAGGACTTTCATCACAGCACTCTGGACTGATCCGTAGGGGATGTAATCTCCTACTCAGCAGCTCCACAAACCCAAACCTTCTGATTTATGTTATGTTGTGTTATGTTATCACAATCAAAGTAACTGCATGTTGGGTATTCACATGCATACTCAGTCCTTCAATGCAGCAGTGACTCTAAGGTATTTCTACTAACTGTACCCATGAGAGGTTGGTTATAATTCCTTCTATCTGGGCCTTAAAGAGTAAAATAAATACAATGATTATTTGTAAGTGATTTCAGCTATCAAGTCAACCCACTATATTCTTCTTTGCTTCTTCTTCTTCTTCACCTTCACCGCCTGTTAACTCCGGCAGAAAGTTCTGGTTGTTCCTCCACATCTGGACTTTAGTCTTGTTCCAGAACCTTAGTTTTGTGTGCATATCTGTTTTACAAATCTAGCTTATTTTTATGCAGATCATTGGTTCCTGGACTCTCTGGCAGATGCACTAAGACTTTGAAGAAAACATCCTTAAATAGTCAACTCTTATGTTAGGGGGCAGTGGGGCTGTTTATTTTGTACCGAACAATGGGGCTCCAGAACCCACACATAGATCAGGCCCAGACTATATCAGGAGACTATCAAGGAAATCAAAGGTGGCAGGCCGGATGTTGACCAGATAATCAGTTTAGCACTGCTTATTCTATATGGTGATTTCATTCTGTGCTCGATGCACTGTGGCAGGAAAAGAGTCCATGAGTTTTTTTTTAACTGTTTGAAGATTATTACAGTAAAACCTTATTTTCATGAAATCTAGGGAAACCAAATGTCAAGAGTTGATGTCAAAAACGTGGCCATGGTCACTAATAAATGCAGAGGGAAAAATTTGTTTCATTTTAATTGACCGTTCTTCTTAAGCAAGTTCGTTTTAATGAGGTTTTACTGTACACACTCTGCTTAACTTATGACGTGACGTATGACCATCCACACTTATAACCACATAACAGTTAATGGATACAAATTGTAAATAAACAAAGACAATTACACTGGTGGGGTCAAAAGGTTCCCAGAACATGCCAAGAGCACAGCCGGGTCTAGGCATCAGAGTCTGTTTGACCCCGGCAGATTTTTAGGAACTGCAGTTGAAATGACAAAAGTGTTGAAAAAATAGAGATGCCCCTTATAACCAGTTCAGCTTATGACCTGTCAGAAAGGAACTCAGGCATAAGTCCGAGAGACTCTGTATTTATTTATTCTTGTCGACTGCCCATTGAAATTAAGGGTAGAATTACAGTGACTGTATTTTCCTGTTTTATTTTTCTGATTGACAGACATTCCAGCTTCCTCTTGCACTGAAATATGATTGCCCCTCCCCTACAACATGGATGCTTGTTGCTGATTCGTTGTTTGCAATACTCGCTGTAGGACTTCCAGTTGCAAGACAGAATTGTAAGTACCGGCTGAAAAATGGCTTTTGTTTTTAAGTGTTTTTATATTTATAGTTCCACAGTGACGATTGGCTGCATTAGATCTCAAATACCTGGGAAGTTATTTCAGTCAACAAATGCTCAGTAAAGTTGGATGTGTCGGCTGAAAGGCTTAAATATCGCAGCTTTGCTGTGAACGGCACACAATTTTTACGTCACTTGGACGAATAAAAACAAAACTACAAAAAATTGCTGGTACTTTCTCTCTCTCATCCTGTTTGTACCACCTCTGAGATTCCTGTCATTCATCTTTTGATATTGTCTTCCTACTCATATTGCTGTCGACCTTGTACACCCTTGCCTCTAATTTTCCCCATCGAGAATAGTTTCTATTAGAAGTTAATGTGTTTTAATAATTGCTTACATCATCAATTTTAAGACAAAGAAGAGGACAATATATGGGGCACACTATGATGGGAAATGGGCAGAGTATCGCCTAACAGGCACTGTAAGTAAGTAGGCAAGTTGTACCCCACCTACAGCGATAAACACCTGGGGACACAAAGTGCCACCATGCAGATGGGGATCACCCATGGAGGGGACCCAGAAACCGGGTTCAACCGTCAGGCCATATTGCGGCTCCCAGCAACAGCCAGGGTGAAATAGGAAGCAAATGGACCGAGGAAATAAGGACGTCCAAGAGAACTCTTAAGACAGATATTGTTGGGAGAGGCCAGAGGTGGTGGAATGGATTCCATCCATAATATTAAATCATTTGCATCCATATTGTCACACACAAAAAACCGATTGCACAGAATAGAATGGAATTGAGGATTAGACTGTGAGTTGTGTGTGACTATAACAGATCAACAGGGCGATGATGATGATGAATGTCTTTTTATGCTGTGAAAATATTTAATCTGTTTTCTTTTTATTTATTTCAGCAACTTTCTTGTCATTTTTAGTCAGTTTCTTCTTTTTGTTTGAGGATCTCCATGGCCAAAGGGTTTAGCTGTTTGCCTCTTGCTGTGGAGGTCATGGGTTCATTTCAAGACCACTTCACTCTGTTCATGACTGCAATTGTTATGGAGATATCAGGGGATCATTTCTAGTGCTACAGAGCCTGTACTTTGTGTGATCTTCTTCTTCTTCACATTCACCAGCTGTAAACTCCGGCGGAAAGCTCTGGTCGCTCGTCCACTTCTGGACTGTAGTCCTGTTCCAAAACCTGAGTGTTGTGTGTGCATCCGTTTTACAGATCTGACTCATTTGTGCTTTGTGTAATGCATTCAACCTGCCGTATAGGACTGCTAGAGTTCTTGGTTCACAATTTTCTGTGGTTATCTACTGATGGCATCACATCCTTCTGACATGTATCCCCACTTGTCTGTATGAGATTGGCCCCTAAAAGCCTATCCTTCAAGCCCCCTAACAAGTCTGCAGTAAAAGTTAACTAATTAGGGGTTTTTCATTTAACGCTGAGAGTGCTTTTGCCTGAGAGGTGAGGAACCAACAGTCTGCATACAAATAAGCCAGATTTATAAAATGGATGCGTACACGAAACTCAAGTTCTGAAACAAGACTTATGTCCAGAAGTGGATGAGCAACCAGAACATTCCGCTGGAGTTTATAGCTGGTGAACACTTAGAGGATCAGCAGGTGAACACTAAGAGGATCAGCTGGTGAACACTAAGAGGATCAGCTGGTGAACACTAAGAGGATCAGCTGGTGAACTCTAAGAGGATCAGCTGGTGAACACTAAGAGGATCAGCTGGTGAACACTGAGGATCAGCTGGTGAACTCTAAGAGGATCAGCTGGTGAACACTTAGAGGATCAGCTGGTGAACACTAAGAGGATCAGCTGGTGAACACTTAGAGGATCAGCTGGTGAACTCTAAGAGGATCAGCTGGTGAACACTTAGAGGATCAGCTGGTGAACACTAAGAGGATCAGCTGGTGAACACTTAGAGGATCAGCTGGTGAACTCTAAGAGGATCAGCTGGTGAACTCTAAGAGGATCAGCTGGTGAACACTAAGAGGATCAGCTGGCCGAACAGTTGAGAATTCTGGGCTCTCATACGGAAGACCCAGGATTAAGTTTTCAGTAAGGTTGGAGAATTGTTGGGGGAAAATATAAAAACCTGCACAGTCTGTGGCAACAGCACTAACCAAAGGCCCCAGATTCTCAGGCTTATAGATCCCCCTGTCTCCACTGCAAAAGTGGTAAAATACAGGCAGTATTGGCAGAACACTAAGAAGAAGAAACCTGTTCTTTCCATCAGAAGTTGAGAAACGAAGTAAAAGTCCCATTTCTACAGGTTGAGACACACTGAGCATGTTGTGCGAGTTCCATCCTTTGAATAGACCAGTGAGCACTCATTTGACAATGTGGTCGCATGCATATCCTTTTGAGGTTGTTGCAGAACCAATCCTAGCATTTGTTGGCTGTCTGGCTTTATCAGGCAGTTTTATTTTAGAATCAGTAGTTTGCCATTGCGTTCTGAATGATTGGCTCTGAATACCATTGTTGAAATCACCACAGAAAGGTCTGCTGCAGAATGGCTTGTCACTGGAATCAGACCAAGCACTTTGGAATTACGAAGCATGTTTGCAACGCCTAAGCCAGTGACGAGATATACACAAAACATACACAAATCAGTAAACATATGGGGTGGTGGGGTGTGGAAACAACAATGTAAAAGAGATAATCTTTCATCATCATGTAGCAGGTCCTTTGCAGAACGTCGCTCTCATCATGGTCTGCCTGAAAGAAACTTGGTCTTTCGCCAGCTCTTCCACCTCATGTACTTTCATACTCAAGGAGTCACTTATATCCTATGCCCATCTTCATGTTGTTCGGCCCCTGCCCCCCCTTCCTGGTACCATGCCCTCTGCTATAATTGTTTCCAATCCGTCGTGGCGCTTGATATAACCAAAATATTTCAGCTTCCATGATAGGATGCTGTTTATTAGCCAATCTTCCTTGATGTTTAGATCATTCAAGATGTCAGTATTAGATAATCTTTACATAAAATAAATGTCAAAACTTTGTGAGCATGCAGCGTTTATTTGACTCTCTCCCACCAGGTAAGGCATTCACCCTGATGTGGGGAGAGTTAGCTGCCCTGTTTGAGAACTTCCTTTTCACCCAGCAGTGAGTCACTTTATGTGTATTCTACTGTATGTTTTGTCTCAGTTACTCTACTGTATGTCTCACTTACTCTACTGTATGTTTTGTCTCAGTTACTCTACTGTATGTTTTGTCTCACTTACTCTACTGTATGTTTTGTCTCACTTACCCTACTTTATGTTTTGTCTCATAGTTACTTTACTGTATGTTTTGTCTCACTTACTCTACTGTATGTTTTGTCTCAGTTACTCTACTGTATGTTTTGTCTCACTTACTCTACTGTATGTTTTGTCTCACTTACTCTACTGTATGTTTTGTCTCACTTACTCTACTGTATGTTTTGTCTCACTTACTCTACTGTATGTTTTGTCTCAGTTACTCTACTGTATGTTTTGTCTCAGTTACTCTACTGTATGTTTTGTCTCAGTTACTCTACTGTATGTTTTGTCTCACTTACTCTACTGTATGTTTTGTCTCACTTACTCTACTGTATGTTTTGTCTCACTCTACTGTATGTTTTGTCTCACTTACTCTACTGTATGTTTTGTCTCAGTTACTCTACTGTATGTTTTCTCTTACTTACTCTACTGTATGTTTTGTCTCAGTTACTCTACTGTATGTTTTGTCTCACTTACTCTATTGTATGTTTTGTCTCAGTTACTCTACTGTATATTTTGTCTCAGTTACTATACTGTATATTTTGTCTCACTTATATTTTGTCTCACTACTACTCTATTGTTGTTTTGTCTCTATATTTTGTCTCACTTACTCTACTGTATGTTTTGTCTCAGTTACTCTACTGTATGTTTTGTCTCTACTCTACTGTATGTTTTGTCTCACTTACTCTACTGTATGTTTTGTCTCACTTACTCTACTGTATGTTACTTGTATGGTTTGCCTCACTTACTCTACTGTATGTTTTGTCTCACTTACTCTACTGTATGTTTTGTCTCACTTACTCTACTGTATGTTTTGTCTCACTTACTCTACTGTATTTTTTGTCTCACTTACTCTACTGTATGTTTTGTCTCACTTACTCTACTGTATGTTTTGTCTCACTTACTCTACTGTATGTTTTGTCTCACTTACTCTACTGTATGTTTTGTCTCACTTACTCTACTGTATGTTTTGTCTCAGTTACTCTACTGTATGTTTTGTCTCAGTTACTCTACTGTATGTTTTGTCTCAGTTACTCTACTGTATGTTTTGTCTCACTTACTCTACTGTATGTTTTGTCTCAGTTACTCTACTGTATGTTTTGTCTCACTTACTCTACTGTATGTTTTGTCTCACTTACTCTACTGTATGTTTTGTCTCAGTTACTCTACTGTATGTTTTGTCTCAGTTACTCTACTGTATGTTTTGTCTCAGTTACTCTACTGTATGTTTTGTCTCAGTTACTCTACTGTATGTCTCACTTTACTCTACTGTATGTTTTGTCTCAGTTACTCTACTGTATGTTTTGTCTCAGTTACTCTACTGTATGTTTTGTCTCAGTTACTCTACTGTATGTTTTGTCTCAGTTACTCTACTGTATGTTTTGTCTCAGTTACTCTACTGTATGTTTTGTCTCAGTTACTCTACTGTATGTTTTGTCTCAGTTACTCTACTGTATGTTTTGTCTCAGCTACTCTACTGTATGTTTTGTCTCAGTTACTCCCAGGACTTTATCTGGTATACTAGGCTGAGTCTTTAAAAAGAATTTAAAAAATCTTTCACTGTAGATTTAAACCCTGTTGTTTCCTATAACAGTCTAGCATTCGAAAATCCACTTAACCTCCCTCACCTGGATCTACAAACGTGGTCATGCGGGCGTAAAGGGAAACGAGCAAGCGGACCAACTGGCAAACATTGCACTAAGGCATGTGGAAAGAAGCATGGACAGAGCAGATCATCAACGCTGTATGGACTGGGCTAGTGGATACTGGGGAGTCCCTGACTCTTAACACAATTGCCTGACATGGGAGTAAAGCATGGTGAAGCATACCTATTGGGTCTTCAAGGCCGAGATAGGAGACATTATAACCAGCTTCTCATGGGAACAATTAGTAGAAGTACTTTGGAGTTGCTGCTGCATCAGAAGACTTAGCACGCATGGGAATGCCCAGTGTGCAGTGACGTTGACTGTGATAACATAACATAACATAGTATTCATTTTGAAAAAAAAAAAATAAAGGACCATTTCCACGCCTTCGGGCCTGTTGGGCATATAGGGCTAGGCCTGTATTTTTATAGACCAGTCAGCATTTGGTGGGTGATGTGGTCACTTTCACGCCGACTGCCTTTACTTCCAAGATTTCACCTGGTACTCAGTTAAGGCTGGATCAACCTGGAAGCTGGGGTCATTTTTTGAAGAAAAAAAAAGTGCTGCTCTATCAGAACCCGAACTGGGGACCTTTGGATCTGCAGGCGAGCATTTAGCTGCTACACCATGGCAAGCTCTATTATAACAGTATAGTATAAGTTAAATGGAGGATTAAACTGCAAGCCTGATTTGACATATATTGGCACAACAGGATGATGATTGTGATCATAAGCTGAAAGTTGTTGCATAGCAGTTGTTGCTTTTGGAATGAGAATGAGGAACTGTTTTTAATTTTATTACTATATAACTCATAGCTTCTTGTTTATTTGTGTTGTTCAGCTCCTGCCCTCCGACACTGTCAGTGGAAGATTTCCAGAGAGATGAAGCCTTTGACTGCCGAGTTATCCAGCTGATCCGAGATGACATCCTGCCCCATGCAAGTCACCTTCCGGCAGACTTCATGGTCAAGATTATGGACATTCTCAACAAGGGCTCCATCCATTCCACTACTTCTGATTGTTTTGTTGGTAAGCTCAATGAATGAATGCACCTCTTATGTTTTGTTGGTCAGCTCAATGAATGAATGCACATTTTATGTTTTGTTGGTAAGCGCAATGAATGAATGCACCTCTTATATTTTGTTGGTGAACTCAATGAATGAATGCACCTCTTATGTTTTGTTAGTAAGCTCAATTAATGAATGCACCTTTTATGTTTTGTTGGTAAGCTCAATTAATGAATGCACCTCTTACATTTTGTTGGTAATCCCAATGAATGAATGCACCTCTTATGTTTTGTTGGTAATCCCAATGAATGAATGCACCTCTTATGTTTTGTTGGTAAGCTCAATGAATGAATGCACCTCTTATGTTTTGTTGGTGAACTCAATGAATGAATGCACCTCTTATGTTTTGTTGGTAAGCTCAGTAAATGAATGCACCTCTTATGTTTTGTTGGTAAGCTCAATGAATGAATGCACCTCTTATGTTTTGTTGGTCAGCTCAATGAATGAATGCACCTCTAATGTTTTGTTGGTCAGCTCAATGAATGAATGCACCTCTTATGTTTTGTTGGTCAGCTCAATGAATGAATGCACCTCTTATGTTTTGTTGGTCAGCTCAATGAATGAATGCACCTCTTATGTTTTGTTGGTCAGCTCAATGAATGAATGCACCTCTTATGTTTTGTTGGTCAGCTCAATTAATGAATGCACCTCTTATGTTTTGTTGGTAAGCTCAATTAATGAATGCACCTCTTATGTTTTGTTGGTAAGCTCAGTAAATGAATGCACCTCTTATGTTTTGTTGGTCAGCTCAATGAATGAATGCACCTCTTATGTTTTGTTGGTCAGCTCAATGAATGAATGCACCTCTGAACTTTATTACATTGTAGTTTACAGACTATGAGGCGCATGAGCATGGGTGCTTAAATATGTATGAATATGAGTGCAATTATATATATATATATATATATATATATATATATATATATATATATATATATATATATATATATATATATATATATATATATATATATATATATGAGTCTGCACGTATGGGTGTGCCTGTATCTGTGTACGTATGAGCAAAAAAGAGTGTATGTGTACATGTATATACAGAATGGCTATGACTGTGTAAACATGATGTGTGTATGCGATATTTCATTGTGTATATTTGTATAGAAACAGAACATGCAATATTAGTAACATGCACTTGCAGTCTGAAAGATGTGTGCTTGGAAAGGCCGAATATAAGACGGCCTGCCTGCCCAATTTGTAACCCTTTGAAAATAAAATTTGTTCTTTCGTTCGTTCACCTCTGTCTCAAAATTGTCCTTCGCATATTTAAAACCATGAAACTATTGTCTTCAGTATACATTCTCCCCCCTCCCCCCCTAAACAAGCCTATCATGGAAGGCAACTTTTTATTGGAGTTTCCTTTAAAGTTAGAGTGCATCTGCCTGAGAGTCAAGGAACCAAGCATATATACAAGTAATGAAACTGATTCTATAAAAATTAAAATAATCAACAGTTGAAGATATAACCTGTATCTGATTCAAAGTAAGCCCCTTTTGCATGGATACAGCAAGTGGCATAATCTAACAAACACTGGAACGACCTCTGTAGTTATTCTGTTGTTATAGCCCTTAAAGTCCATGTTACGGCCCTTTAGATGTAATCAGTATCGTTAAAGAAGAGTCCTTTTAATCGTTGGGAATAGAAAATAATTGCAGGGAGACAAATCTGGGGAATAGAGTGGAAAGCTGAGAACACACACTTGTTTTTGGGCCCAAAATTCTTGTTTTGGTGATGTCTCTTGGGTACTCAACACGCTGATGTTTTTGGTCATCAGACAAGGAATGTGGTACAAACTGGCAAGCAATCTTTTTCTTGCCAAAATCCTGCACTAAAATGTTATGAATGGTCTCTCTATTAACACCAGATTCATCTGCCATCGTCCTCACAGTAAAACAATGATCTTCTTGTATCTGTTCTCTGACTTTTGCAATGAGTTTATCATTATGAACAGAAATTAGGTGTCCACGTCTAGGGGCATTAGTAATCATTTCCACACCACTTTTGAACCGTGAATACCACCTGAAAATCTGTGCATGAAATACACAATTATCCCCATAAACTTGTTGCATCAATTCAACTGTTTTAATGTCGCTTTTTCTGAGTTTTAAAAAGAATATAATGTTTGCTTTTTTCTCCATGCTGATTACGTAACAATGCACGTCTGACTAGGTCAAGAAAATGGCGGCTTGTTTGTTGTCTGCTTATCGAGCGGCGATGAAAAGTTGCCAGATCATAGAAAAATGTTGCCTCTTTAGATTCCATGCTTTGCTTTATAGATGGCATTTTTGTCTTGGCCATAATAAAATCAGTCTCATTACTTAATTGTCGCACCTTGTATAAGCCAATACTGTAAAATGAATGTGCACACAAAACTCATGTCCTGGACTGGAACAAGACCAAACTCCAGAAATGGACAAACGATCAGACTGTTCCACCAGAGTTTACAATTGGTGAATACTATCAAGAAGAAGAATAGTTTTGCTTTGTTTTATTGTAAGAACCAAAGTGGCAGACGTCTTCAGCAATCTCTCTTATCTGCTCAGCAGACACAGAATCCAGCAGGAAGCTCAGAGAAGAGTTTGCCCGCACCTGCTTTGAGACACTGCTGCAGTTTTCTTTTGTTAGTGACACTGTGTCAGAGCAGGGCCAACTGACACGACTTGCTGTCATGTCACTGTTGCGTCGGTGTCAGGATGTTGTCACTAAATATGTTGAGGATGAGAGACTAAGCGGAAAGTGTCCTTTGCCGAGGTAAATTTTATGTTTTTTAATAGGTTAGCATATATTTGTCACCTTGTTTTGTTATAATTTGTGTGGCTTATGTTCCAAATTTAATGTGTATTGGTATGTTAATATGCAGTCCACATCGCCAATGGAATGCCTATTTGTTTATATCAGTATGGGTTTAACACCATATGTCTAGTGTTCCATTGCTATATGGAAAGGCATAGTCTAAAACACACCAATAAACAATAAGGATCTTAATTTATTAATGAAATAATGTTAGTAAAATGTTTTAGTCTTCTTCTTCTTCTTCTTCTTCATCAATCCTTCTGTCAGAAAACTTATATGAGAAGGCCGGTAGCCTTTATGAAAGCTATTGTGCAGTCACTATCTTCTCACATACCATACAGCTTTGTCTTCAATGTAGTTGCAACAGGCCAGATTGCGTCTCTGTTGTCAGCATACAGTTGACAGTGTTGGAGCTCATACTCAGCATTTTCAGTAGTCATGTATAGGTTAGTTGTGTATCCTTTACAGGACGTTGCAGAACCAACCCCAACAGCCCCTGGCTGTTGTGAGGTTTTTCTAGGCAAATTTACGTCCAGTAGCGTTCGCATTGACTTAGCCACAGAGCCGACAGACATGTATAGGACAGAACAAATTAATATGGTTTAATTGGTATTATTGTGGAGCTCAAGTATAGAAAACAAATTCTAATGAACCAAGAGACAAGGAAAAGACATGGGTTCTACATATTACCGGATGGTGTTATTATTTCGCTGCCAGAGACAAGACGACTTGGTGGTTTCGAAGGAGGTACTGTGAGATAAGAAGCCGCCACGGCAGCTTAATTAGAACAGTCAGCGTGCCTGGACGACCGAGCGACAAGCTTACTTTGGTTTACCGGACACATGTTGGACTTTTATTAGCAGTTGGCAGAGGAACACTGGCAGACAATTCGTACACGATGGACTTTTCAAAGGGATAAGAAACTCTTTTCCACTAGATACCCGGACCAACTCACCGAGGCCCGTCCCCTACGTTGTTGCGCTTGCGTCCACAGCCAGCTAGAGGCCCTTTCGGCCACCTCTCCCAGTTTTTTGAGTGTTCGTTTCCGTTCATTACCGCGCAATCCTAACTCTTTAACCACATTGTAGAGCGAAGTGGAAACGAGGCCTCTCGCTCCCACTTCGACGGCAAATACCCGTACTGTGTAAGCCTCGTTTCTCCTCAAACCGGCTGCTAAATCACTGTACTTCTCGAGCTTGTACAAATGATTCTCCTCCATCCGCGACTCAAACGGGACCGTCAACTCAATCAGGATGAGTTGCCGTTTTTGCGCAGAATGGAGAACGATGTCCGGTCGCAGGCCGGTTTTACGGATCAACTCGGGATACCGTTCATGTCCTGGCAGATCAACCGCCAGTAACCAGTCCCTCGCAGAGTCTAGCACCGATGGAGCGAATGCGTTTTTGTTGACCTTACCTTTTGGAACCTGCCCAGCCTTGAGGAAACGAATGGGGACGATACTAGAACTGGCTCTGGCATTAGCCCTCATTCTAGCCTGGTCGACAACGGCTGCTAACTCCTTTAGCACCTTGTTGTGGCGCCAGGTATATCGGCCTTGACCTAGGGCTTTCCTGCACGCGGACAGGACGTGCTCAAGAGTTTGCTTTGATTTGCACAACGGGCAAGTCGGATCGTTGGTCGCAGACCATTTAACCATATTAACACCGGACGGTAATACATCGTACGCCGAACGAACGATAAAGCTCAGTCGCAGCGGGGTCATCCGCCAGATCTCACCCCATGTGAGTATTCTCGGCAATGCGCTCTCCAGGCTGACCCAATGGCCCTGCTGCGACTGTTGGGCTGCTTTCTGGACCCGAACCTCGTTTTCGTTGTCCCTCACCGTTTGTATCACCATGTCTCGGCGCTCTTTGGCTGAGGCCTTTGACCACCAATTGACCTTTCCCGTGCCCTAGGCCTCGACGGTCGGTTTGTGTGTAACCCATTATCTCCTTCAATTTTAGTGCGTTCTGAGCAGATTCTATCGCATCGAGGACCCTCCACTTGGTTCCAGTCTTTAGAGCGGGCTGGACAGCGGTGACATTTGGGTCTGAAGACTCGCGCAAGAGCATGGCGAGCCTTACCTTGCCGACTTTAAACTCTTCTGTTATCGACTTGAACGGAAGTACCAGCTTAGCCTGTTTACAATACAGAGCCACGTCGGTCAGACAAGGCGGTGCTCCAATCCACTTTCTTAAGGCTGTGTTGATTTTTTTCTCCATGGCTTCAACTGCAGTCATCGTCACCTCGTAGACTAGCAGTGGCCATAGGAGCTTTGGAATCAACATGAATTGGAGACACCATACCTTGAATTTTCCGATCAGCCTGCATCGCTCGATCGCGAGCAGGCCTGTAGCCAGTGACTCATGTATTCGCCGGACTTCCGCTCTGTCAGATAGCTTCGAATCGTAAACGCGACCGAGACTCTTCACCGGTTCCTCCAGAACCGTAGGGATCTTGTTCCTTGCCACCGTAAAACTGATTGCCGAAACCTTGCCCTTATGGATTGACAGACTCCTCGACTTCTGCGGTTTAAACTGCATACCGCTCCATTGGACCACCGCGTCCAATCTATTCAGGATCGTGCGGGCAGACTCCTCGCTGCCCGTTATAATAGTCGTGTCATCCATAAATGCGCGCAGTGGCGGCAACCAGTGATCCCCTATTTGAAGGCCCAGTCCGTAGCCGGCCGCCCCGTCTAACACGATCTGCATTGCCATGACAAACAGTATAGGTGAGATCGTACACCCCATAGCTATCCCAATCTGCAACTCAGTCCACCTCGTGGTAAACGTCGAGGTAGAGAAGCGCAAAAGCGAACTTGGAGAAATATTGCTCGACCATTTGACTGATCTGTGTCGGTACGTGAAACATGCGAAGGGCTCGCCACAGTAGCCTATGGGGGACTGCCCCGTAGGCGTTGGCTAAGTCCAACCATATAACGTGCAAATCGGTTCTCTCATGCTTGGCTCTCTGGATAGCCTCCCAGATCATGGTCGCGTGTTCAAGGCACCCAGGAACGCCTGGAATACCACCCTTCTGAACACTCGTATCTATGTACTTGTTAGTCATCAGATACTGTGTGAGCCGGCGAGCCATGACTGAGAAGAATATCTTACCCTCAACATTCAACAGCGAGATGGGCCTGAATTGGAAAAGACTCTTCGAGTCCTGCTCTTTGGGAATGTAGACCCCATTTGCCTTTGACCACTCTGGACATATGTGATTGCGGATCCACGCTTGTCTCAACAAGACGTGAAGCATTTTTAGGATTTTCGGGCAACGCTTGTAAAGAACGTACGGAACACCGTTCGGACCTGGGGCAGACTTGCCGCTGGCTTTTTTCACAACGTCCTCAACCTCAGACCAAAGGGGAGGTACCATTTTAAATGGTACCTTCGGCACCGAAGGCTGTTTGAGTCCGCTAAGGATCTCTGGATTGTCATCGAGAGGCTCACTCCTCTTTTTATCCGAGTACATCTTGCGTAGATGTAGCTCTAGTTCTTCCTGACTGACAACCAGAGTCCCAGACTTCGGTTGCTCGAATAGACCTCGGGCGAACTGATACGGGTCCCTAAAGAATTTCTCTCGCTCCCTTTTGGTTCTCCGTCTGTTGTTACAGAAACGCTCGGCGCGACAGAGGGCACTGTGTTTGTTCTTTAAGTGCACCCACACTTCATACAGCCCCTCCCGTTCGCTGCCTGTAGCGGCTTTGAACCGTTTTCTGAGGGCATTCTTGTCTGCCCGACACTTCAGAATGTCCCTCTGCCTTCTGCTAATATTCTGCTTGGCACCCGGCTGTGCCTTTACTACTGTCCCGAACTCGCGGGAGCAGTGTTCGTATATTACATCACCAAATTTAGTAAGCTTGTCGCCTAGCGGCTTCTTGTTTAGAGTTTGTTTAAGTATCTCACATAATGTAACCTCCAACTTACACCACACCACCTTCTCGCTCGCAGGTGGAAACCTGATCTTGGAACGCACTTCTTCAGAAATCATCAAAGGTGCTCCTCCGCAGTCGACGTCATGGGCCTCTCCGGGCGAGTGGGGTTCACCCTGCCCGTCGTACCCTGACGACTCAGAAACTACCACAGGAGTGGTAGTTTTGCGACGGCGTTTACTGCGTGGAGCACCCTCGCATTTCATTCTTCCGGCATGCGTTCTCAGACCATGCAACCCCGTGAAGCTTTTCCCACATGTACAGAGCCAGCCCGGACGTTGGGCGAGTGTCTCAGTCCGGGGGCTAGCAAAGTCGTCAACGAGGGTATCAATCAGATTGGGCCCTTCATTCTCCCCCCCCCCCCCTTTCGGAGGGCCCTGGGGGCATATTTCATTGTGGTCGTACGAAATCGGAGGTATTATACTGTGTTAGGGGTGATCAACCCGGTCCACAGTCGACATCTGTCTCCAGATGTCAGTTTATCCCCCCGGCGATACCGGGGGGCCAGTCTTTCCATAGGTGTCAAAAGGTCTTTCCCGATAGTCACCAGTCTTTCCTGGTAGTCTTGTGGGCTAGCCACGTACAATAAGAATAAACTCACAGGGAGCAAGTACAGCGGGGATCTACAGTCATCAGTAGAAATTATCCTCTTTCGACACACGTTTCGGCCCACGATTCCTAAACGTATTCGGAGGTGGGCCCACCTGAGTTCATGAAGCTCAGGGCTGCTTCCCCGCTGCACGGAATTACCGGATGGTGTTATTATTTCGGCCAGAGACAAGACGACTTGGTGGTTTCGAAGGAGGTACTGTGAGATAAGAAGCCGCCACGGCAGCTTAATTAGAACAGTCAGCGTGCCTGGACGACCGAGCGACAAGCTTATTTTGGTTTTTTTAATAAGATCGTAGGTTCATATCCAAACAGTGCTGGACTTTTGTCAAACAATGACCTTGGCTGCTAGGTCGACCTAGCCTTGAATGGGTAACAGGTAAAGTCGTGGGAAGTGAAGGTGGCTAGCGTTTTGATGACTTCATCACCCACCAAATGCTGATTGGCCTATAAAATATAGGTCTAGTCCTAAACGATATATGCAGAAAGCCTAAGGAGATTTGTGAAAAAAAATGACTGACTGACTGACTTTCTACCCCACCAGGACATCACACAAGCGATAAACACCATATGGATAAGGATCACCGTGGAGAGGTCCCAGAAACCACATTCAGCCTTTAGGCCATATTTATGGCCAGGCTATATTGCGGTCCCTGGCAAGAGCCAGAGTAGGGCTTCAATTAATGAAAAATTTCATCCTTAAAAGGACGGGTAGTAGACTATGAAAAAATGAACTGAACTGAACTGAATTTCTACCCCACCAGGACATCACACAAGCGATAAACACCCGATGACACAAAGTGCCACCATGTGGATGAGGATCGCCGTGGAGAGGTCCCAGAAACCGCGTTCAGACATTTAGCCATATAAATGGCCTGCCTATATTGCGGCCCCTGGCAAAAGCCAGAGTGGGGCTTCAAATGACAAAAAATTTCGTCCTAAAAAGGACGAAATTTGGTATATGAAAAAATGACCAGACTTATTACAATTATGATAGGCTCCTAAGTGCTGACAACCCTATTCCAAAACTTTGCTTTATAGATGACACAGTCCTCTTTTCGAACATGGTAGAGGAACTGCTATATGATGAGCCTTATATTCTCATTGTGCTCGAAGGCATGGAAACAGGGTTCTTACTTTACTACTGAGTACATTAATTGTGCTAAAATCCTTCTGGTGCCGTTTGAAGAAATTCAAAGTATTAATGGGTGATTTCCCTTTTCAAGGGAGATGATATCCTTAAATAAACAGAATCAGAGCCGACATTTACAACTACAATACCCGTAGAGCTAAGAAAGTGAAGTCAAAGTGCTTGAGCTTAAAAATTGTAGAATGATTCTTCAAATACAATGAATCTGTATAACCATACTGGCATTTTACAAGATCTAGACATAGAAGCAGGAGTCACGGTGGTGGAACGGCTAGACGCTTACCACGGATCGGAAGGTCGTGGGTTCGCTCCCTGGCGAAGCCAGACTTTTTTCAAAAATGAAAAAAAAATTGGCTCCCAGGTCGACCCAGCCTTAAGTGGGTACCAGGTGCAGCCTTGGGAAGTAAAGGCAGCAGGCATGATGCTGACCACATCACCGATCTTGGGCCAATTGGTCTATAAAATATAGGTCTAGCCCTATATGCCCTATACACCTAAAGGCGTGGAAAAGGGTCCTTTTTTTTTTTTTTTTGGGGGGGGGAGACATAGAAGCAAACTGGCTCATAAACAGAGTGATGTTCCCAGAAAGAAAAATACTTGTATACTCCTCCCCAAAAGGTTGAGCTAAATATGTCAGACATAACCGATCCACACTGGGCTACAGGTTACTTTGTAACCGGTATGTGATGCCCCAGTGTAACAGTGCTGTAGAGCTATAGGTTGAACAGGGTTTTTGTAGCTGTCTGATCGTCATCCTAGAGATGTTAATCCTGCAGAATGCAAATCTGGTGGGAGAAAACTTGTAAATGTTCAAGCTGGAAAGCAGATCATTGCATCACTCTGCGATCAGTTGTGGATGAAGATTTTGTTTGGACTTCAGCAATGTTCTAGACACTTCTGGAGACATCACAGAGAAAGGTTGATTTTCCTATTACAGAAGGCAACAGCTGCAGAGTGGCTTCTTTTATGATCTGGAATGGTGTCTAGAAATTTGGACATATTGACTTGTTGCCCTGAAAGACACTCTAAAGGTTCATTAGATGGTTTATGTGATATTCTTGTAGATGAATAGCCACATTGTCAAGAGAGAACAAGCCGACTGGGATAACATCTAATGCACTGGAAGTCAGTCCTCTTAGCTTTATAAACACCTTGAATTATGTAGAAACAGGAAGTGAGTGAATAGAATATCTGATTTGAAATTTCAGGCCAAGGTTAGCTGAGATGTCATCTGTACTCAAAGCAATAACCACCCTGCTGCAGTCACTCAAGAAGGCACCCAAGGAGAATGGTTTGTATACTTCTTCAGAATTATTGTTATTTTTTAATACATCATGTGGTCCATTGCCGTTCCTTTTATGATGATCATCATCATTATAGTCCCATAACATCATGTTGCTGTCGACTATCTTCTTCTTCATTCTTCCTCATTTGTCCAAAAAAGGTAATTGTGTTGTGCCTGTTTACAAGTCTGTGTTATTTCCGCCTTTCAGCAGACACATCCAACTTTATTGGGCATTTGTTCATCGGGTTAGCCTTCCTGGTTGGTTTCATGGGACATGCTGAGCCCTATTTGTGTGGGCAACCACTTGTAGCTTGGTCGGCCCTCAAGGGAAGACAGGAGCAGATCATGGGCATTCCCTGCCATCCAAGGAGGCTTCAAACACATGACGTTCTGATCCCGGGCTCACCCAAGGAATTCTGTTGAATGTCTGATCAGTTCCCTCTATCTCAGTCAGATGCAGTGGACCTGACGTTTTCATGTCTGTGACCTGTCCTTCAGCCACATTTTGTATAAGATCTTTCTTTGTTTGCCTCTTGTCCTTCTTCCTTCCATTTGTAACATCAGTCAGTAATGTCTGTCTCGAACAGTATTTCCACCCTGACAGATCCCAATCCCTTCCAGGGGGCCACTTCACCTCTATCCTGTATCCTCACCGATAGATACAAGTCCACATCACCAGTCAGTGAGATATAATGGGCAATGTATAACCCTAAGAATATGTTGTCTAAACAAAACCTGAGGCTTTCTAGCTGAAATGCTACATAGAGATTTTTTTAATACTATAAACTGGGCTTGATCATAACTGATGAAAATTGACTCATAAACAAAATTTAACTTGAAAAACTAAAAAACTTTGGCCATATCAAACATTGCAGTGTCTTGGAGTGAACAGTAATGGTGGGTGGAAGAGGGGGAGAGGTCGTGGTACTGGATAAGGAAGGCAGAAACTCACCAGTATGAAGATGGGCACAGAATATAAGAGACACCTTTGACAGGAAAGAGCATGGGTTGGGAGACCTGGCCAGGGACCAGGCTGTGTTTGGATTGATGAGGCTCTGTAAAGGGCCTACTACATGATGATGATGGCATTTTGTCATGCTCAGCTGACACTATGACATCATCAAAATGTGTCAGTATTACCCTGACATTGCACAAGAATGAATCCTGTTTGACTTTTCCCTTTGTTTTCTTCTTCTGTTCTTCTTCTTCTTCTTTTACTGCTTGAGATGTAGAGGGAGATGTGAGGTTCTTCTTCTTGCTTTTCTGGCTCCTTCAACCATGAACATCTTTCTTTTCTTTTCATGTATGCCTTATATGATAGCATTGCATGGCATTCTCTTTGTGTGTGCAAACTAATTCTTTTGTATGTCTTATATGGTATAGCATTGCAAGGCATTCTCTTTGTGTGTGCAAACTAATTCATTTGCTGTCTTTGTGTAGTATATAATTTAGAATTGGTTCTGTGCCTACTTGTTCTTTTGTGACCTCTTTTCCACACCTTTCAGGCATATTGGGTATATAGGGCTAGATCTATATTTTATAGACCAGATGGCACTTGGTGGATGATGTGATCAGCATCACACCGGCCACCTTTACTTCCCAGGATGGTACCTGGTACCTACTCAAGGCTGGGAGCCAGAGTCATTTAAAAAAAAAATCTGGCCCTCATCAGGAACCGAACCGATGACCTTTCGGTCTGGGTTTACAGCTGGTGAACGCAAACAGCAACAACTACAGTTCATTTACATAATCATATAACAAGACACAACAATGAATCCTTTTAGCTGCAAATACACAGAATAGAATGTTTCTAGACATTTCATCACAGGAAGTTCAAGATTAGTCACATGATTAACACAGAGGTTTCCTGTTTATCACTTTCTGTGCTGTTTTTGTGTTTAAAATGTGGTTTTTGAAATCAATGCAAAGAATATCATGGAGGGATAGAAAAACAAATAAAGCAGTCATCAGTGAGACAGATGAAAGTTGTAAACTGATCAGAACAAATAGACTAGGCAGTCGTTGTTTTTGGACATTTTCTGATCAGGAAAGGACTGGAGAACACTGGTTAAAAAGTGGCAAGGTTGATGGAAAGAGAGCACGAGGAAAGAACATTGATCTGATCTGCAAAACATGACAGTCTAAGCTTACCAGTACTGCACATGATATTTAGTTCGACGTTAGTCTCCACAAAGTAGGTCATGTTCCATTGGTAACTTTGTTGAACTGGTCTTCTTTACAAGGGGTTACTGGTGTACCACTCTGAGGTCATGTTCCATTGATAACTTTCTTGCATTTAAGTTTCCTTTCGGGGGGCCTTTGACACACGTTGCAGCACTGTCTAGGGAGTTGTGTGTTAGACCCAGTTTGTGTATGTTTTTATTGTGTTAAAAGCGCTGGCATGCTGAAATATACAACACATGATATCAATGGCATTGCAGAACACCTCCTTAGCAGTGTGCAAAGGTTTGTGTGGCTCAGGAACTACCAATCAGAAGTGAGCTGCTAGTTTGTATATGGGCAGGCTGTGGGGGAAAGGGGGGGGGCTAAAGTAGAACTAACCCACAAAACAATAGTGATGATTTAAAAAAAAAATATTTACGGAAAGATAAAACCGACAAAAAATAAAAGAAGATTAATGATGGTCTTATGTCATCGAGTTTGCCGGATGTGGTTTAAGTACAATCACCTGCCCCAAATGGCTCGATATTTGACAATGATGATGTGCAGCTTGTCTCTGTCTATGTTCACTAAGCTTTGGGTTTGCTTATTTGTGTGTTTACTGGTGTGTCTGACAGTGGAAGTCGCTGTCTGGAACCAAGTTATTAAGCTGTACCCAGCACTGGTTGAGTGCACAACATCACCATCACCTCAGGTAAGGGACTGCACTGAATGGGTCTTGTGTGTGCGTGCATGCATGCGTGCGTGCGTGAGAGAAAGAGAGGGCTGTTGGGCAACTATAGGGCACTAATATTGAAATGCAAGCACATGAATATAAACAATAAAAGAGCACTATTCAACAGTATTTTTACTGACACAGTGTCCTCTCTGTCAGAAGCAGGCTACCTCCAGAAGACGAGGACAAATAGTCAGAGCAGAAATAAAATGTTTATAAATTATGCAAGGTGTAAACAAGGAAAGATCGACTAGGACCAATGATATTAGGAAAACGGTCAGCACAAAACCATTGCTGAACTTTATCAGTAAAAAACAGTTCAGATGGTTTGGTCATGTAAGAAGACTGGCAACAGACAGGGAACCATAAAGGGCAGTATTATACAGATACAGCTGTAATAGTGCCAGAGGTCCCTCAGGTAGAATATGGACTGAAAATATAGAAAAACACTGAAAAGCACTTTATATACGAAGTGAACAGAAGGGCCAGTTTAAGAGATTTCTGTTCTGCCCTGACACTGAGGTATTTCAGGAGTACAGAAAATAGGAAGAAGTGGGTGACTGTGTGGGCTGAAAGGTCATTGGTGTAAGGTAGACTTTAATATTATCCTTATCTGTGTGTAGATTCTGGGGTCCAACTTGTGTGTGTGTGTGTGTGTTTTTTTTTGGGGGGGGGGGGTTTTGGGGGGGGGGGGGGGGGGGGGGGGAACCACCTGCCGGCTAATGATCCTGTCATTAAAGGCAGCCAGTTATGAGTTTGCTGAAATCAGTTGTGATCTGTACAAAGGTTGCAGATGTCACAGCCTGGCTGTAACCTATATCACAAAAACACTGCTATTAGTTGAGTTGAGTTCATTCAAGAAAACCTACATCACAAGACTCAGGGCATTCACATAAACACTCCATCCATATTCAGCAGCTAGCGCAGAGTTCCGATAACTATAGTGCCAGTAGTAGTCTAATTATACATCCTTCTTGCCTTCCTTTCCTCCGAGTGTCAAGTATCGGCTAAATCTCCTCGTCACTCATCGCTGCCTCACTCTTACCAGACTATGGTCATCCATTTGCCTTATCATGCATCAGTATTCCACCAAGTTGTGCAGTGCCAGTCTGTCTGTCTATTCATTTCCCAACACACCGGCATGCTCAGAAGAAAAGGTCCAGACAGTGCTCCCCACCAATGACCTCAGAAGCGAAGCATGCCACTCTACATGAAAACATACCTGTACTCACATTCTTCCAGCATGCTTTCTGAGTCAGTTACAACCACAGTATGTGTGTATCATGTTCACTAAGCAGCGGAAAGCTGCTGTGACCACCTGCACCTCCATTCTTAAGCTGGATAATAGGTCTTCTACACCACAAGTCAACCATTTGCTTTTGCCAAGAACTCCCAAACATTCTTTTGCCTTTTGACGCTAAACCATGTGTATAAATAATTACATCACCTGAGCGAGCATTATCTTGAATTAATTGCTGAATTTCCACCTCTGTGGCACCTGGTAGCCCCTCTCTGCACTCCCGGCTCAATGTGATTATAACTCCACAAGTCTGACTGCTTTGCTGGCACTCTGACCGCTCATCTCATCACCTAATGCTCTCCAGGATGCAAACCTGTCTGATTGGATGCAAATCTGTCTGATTGGATGCAAACCTGTCTGATTGTATGCAAACCTGTCTGATTGGATGCAAACTGGATTCAAACCTCTCTGATTCAATGCAAACCTGTCTGATTGGATGTAAACCTGTCTGATTGGATGCAAACCTGTCTGATTCGGATGCAAATCTGTCTGATTCAATGCAAACCTGTCTGATTGGATATAAACCTGTCTGATTGGATGCAAACCTATATGATTGGATGCAAACTGTCTGACTGGATGCAAACCTGTCTGATTGTGCCCTCTGCCTGAGCCATCCATGACTTTCCTCTGATCAACCACTGACCCCTAACTGTTTATAGTAGTTAATGTAATTCTAGTAATTATACTAGAAAAATTCATAATCTCAACATTGTTATTTATAGGATAACTTATAATAGAAACTTACATATCACAATGCTGGTGTTTATAAATAAATAGAGAATACATATCTTTTTTCTTTCAGGTGTCCAAAAGTCTGCGTGATGCCTTGCACGAGTTCTGTGATCTGCTGGCGCCACCTGGTTCCGCGTATCTGCAAAATGGCAGATAACTGCATCGACCATCTTGCTGATATGTGATTTATTTACAATGACCACTGTTGTTATCACATGTGTTTACTTCACATACTGCTTCTGAATCTGAGTCCTAAGCATCATGGCGGTCATTTTCTTTGTGTTTTTCTGTTAAAGAATTTATGAACAATTCTGTATAACTTCATTATTAATGAGAATATAAACATATAAAATGTACTGAAATGATTTGTTTCATTTTGTATGGGATGTTTATTTATTGTTCTGATTTTACAGTTTGTTAACTGGATAGTAAAGTTAAGATTGCAGTTTTAAAAAAAAAACACAAACGTTGACATTAACTCTTTCAGTATCATAGGACAGTTAACTCTTTCAATCCCAGGCAGCTGTTACTTTAACTCATTATGCTCCATAGTGTTTTGCTTTAAAGCAGTATATAATTTGGCCCTAAAAGATTCATCATAGATACAATGAGACCTGAGAAGTTAAACTAGTCATTTAGACAATAAAGATTGATAGAACATTCTTCAATGACAGGAAACAGTTAGTAATTATATTCTTTTTGGAATAATGCATAAAGACATGGGGAGTTGTTTGGGCTGAAAGATTTAAATTAGTTAGAGTCCTGCATTCCTTGGTGGAATTCAATAAAATTGGTCCCACCTGGAGATGAATTTGGTATATGATGCTTGTTCCATATTTGTTAGATCTTTAATGGGTGATATATGGTCAGTATTCAAATGTATGATTTAAACACATTTGTGTGTTACCTTTCCTGTGGAGTCAACAAAGCAGGCCAAGTGAGGGATCAGGTTGCATGGGTAAGCACATGGTTTCTGTGGTGCTGCTCAGGCTTTATGCTGTGGAGTGGGAGCACTTCGTATCTGGTCATAATTAGTGTTACATGTTCTGTGATCTCCATGCCTTTCCTAAAGCACAATGGAACATTATCATCTAAAACACAGAATTTTGCCCTTGCTTCTTAGAACAAATACTAATACTCCTTTTAGGCTGGGTTAGCCAGGCGATGAAATCATCACTTTACAAGGGTCAATCATGTGGCCACCAAGCTGGAAGGCAAGCATACTTGCTATCTTCTTTGTTTTTTCTTCTTTACTTCCTCTTTTACCACATAAGGTGTCAAGGGAGATGTAAGGTTCTGCTTCATGCTCTTCTGGTCATCTCATTCATTGACACATTGTGCTGTTGTAGAGTTTCTCTTATTTTTATCTGTCCATATTGTTCTTGGTCTACCTTTTGCTCAGCATCTTTCTCTTTTTTTGGTGAATGCCTTGTATGGCACAGTGTTGCAAGGCATTTTCTCTAATTGAGCAAACTATTTGATCTGCTGTCTTTGTATGTAATTTAAAATTTGTTTTAAGCCAACTTTTTTCTCTTATGAATTGACTGTCACATTTTTGTCTATCCAGATGATATTGTTATATTGTGCTATGAGGAGTTAGGAAGTTCCTTCTCTCCATAGCACACAGCATAGGCAGAATTGTAGAGACCATATGTCGCCCATGCATCATGATCTCTCTCTCAACCTGCCTTGTTTACTCCAAAAGAAAGGTAACACCAGTAAATTTGGAACGAAACAGGCTTCTTAAGCTGCCGGATCAGAAGAGCAGTGCTCTTTCTGTCCACATTCTAAAGCTTCCCTCCTAGACCAGCTGCCAGCCAAGACTAAGGGGGGCTGGTATGTCCTGTTGTAACATAAAGTTTTCAGATTGCATATCCTCTTCCTAGGATAAGGCTAGTATCCTCCCCCAATGCACTCATCTGCCCGAAGCCATCGGCACAATGTGGGATGTCAAGTTTAGTATACGCCGCCCACCTTTTGGCGTTAACAGAAGACAGGTGGTACCTGCTACTGTTATACGGTAGCTCAGTCATACTTGACAAAGACCTGACCTGGTATCTCTTATGAATATACTTCCTATCTATATTCTTATATAACCATCATCCCCGACCAGACAGTCAATGAGAATAATTCGAATTTATTAAAATCAAAAGAGGCCTAAACATGGACTGTATCTGTGTCTGCTTTCCCAAAAGTTTTGAATTTGTGTTTTTGTAATTAATCTTGTTTCTGTAATAGCTAACTTAATTTGTTTTATCTCATATTTATCAGTAATACCTAACCTTTTTCTTCCCCGCATGTATTTTATTTCATTCTTTAATGACCACCTATGTTTGTTTATCTCATAATTTATCTCTTTCTATGGATAACTAAGCTAACTTTATTTGTTTATTTTATGTTTGATCTCTTTCTGTTCTGGCTAACTCAATTTGTTTATCTCAAATATTTGATCTCTTTCTTTCTGCTATGGGAACAGTTAGCAGCTACACCTTATGACATTCACTGCAGGAGAGCATCTGTGGGTATGCTTGGTGTGCTGTGATGTCGATTCTTCCGTCAATAATCAGATCTCCTTCTGTCATGGCTAACTTAATCTGTTTATCTTAAATTTTTGATTTCTTTCTGTCATGGCTAACTTAATTTGTTTATCTTAAATTTTTGATCTCTTTCTGTCATGGCTAACTTAATTTGTTTATCTTAAATTTTTGATCTCTTTCTGTCATGGCTAACTTAATTTGTTTATCTCAAGTATGTGATCTCTTTCTGTCATGGCTAACCTAATTTGTTTATCTCATACATTTGATCTCTTTCTGCCATGGCTAACTTAATTTGTTTATCTTAAATATTTGATCTCTTTCTGTCATGGCTAACTTAATTTGTTTATCTCAAATATTTGATCTCTTTCTGTCATGGCTAACTTTTTGTTTGTTTATTTTATATTTGATCTCTTTCTGCCATGGCTAACTTAATTTGCTTATTTCAAATATTTGATTTCTTTCTGTCATGGCTAACTTAATTTGCTTATGTCAAATATTTGTTCTCTTTCTGTCAGGGCTGTTTGTATTTATTTATCTTAAATATGCCAACTTTGTCATGACTTAACTTTTTTGTTCATCTCATGCATCTGTAAAATTAATTCACTGGACAGGTATTCATCATTTCCCAGCATGCCAGTTTTTGTGATCAGTTTTTTGGTTTTTTGGTTTTGTTTTTGGGAAGTCCTAAAAGAGCATTCTATTTTGCCACTGTTTGGATCTGCCTAGTTCACAATAAATGACTGAATCAAGAATGGGCACTCAGGACATTCTCATGCATGCTCCCTCCCCCTCCCCTTGCCCCTACCCTCTTTGTAGCCAACAAAGAGATCCCATGCTGATGGTGATGGTTCCAACTTGGTTAGAATTGCCATTGTTTGTGTTTTCAGTTGTTGACTTATTCCTTAAGTGTGGGATTTAACAATCAGGTTGTTATTTATATAAGTATATATATTCAGAACTTGTATCATGTATGTCACTGAAGTTATTCTGAACTTAGATTGATCAGGCAACCAGTCATAAGTTAACTCTTTGAGTCCCAGAGGGTTTAGCATCACAGGCCCAGGGGATAGTAAAGAGAGTCATAAAATTGGCGCATCATGCGTTCATTGGGCTTCTAGGTAGGAACCTATGAACGTATCATGCGTTCCTTGGGACTCAAAGAGTTAACAAGGACTATAATGAATTACTATTACTTTTCTTGCTTTTTTTTATGGCAAAGAAATTGTTGTATATTGATCATTGATCGTCTCAAGGATTAAAGGACAGTTTTTTAAACCAGCAAGCATGCTTTATATGAAGTCTTCCTTTGCCTTTACCCTTGACATTCATTGGTTTACAGCTAGCTATTCTGCAATGTCTGCAGCCTTTTACTCAAACAACATCAGATTTTTAGCAGACAACCAATTACCCACATTTTACAATATGCTTGTGGGGGGGGGGGGCAGAGGATTCTGTACCCCCCCCCCCCCCCCCCCCATCCAAATGGTGTCCCAAAACCCACACTGGGAAAATGTCAAGTAAGTTATTTGCATATTTGGTTGACTGGTTGTAGGAAACTCTCAGATAAAATGTGCAATTGACCTCACTGGATATTTTTTTGACATTCATGTTGCCCACAGTCTGCATTACACAGAATGAAGACATATAGAAATACTTCGCTTGCAATCTGGTATTTCTAACCCCCAATCTCATATCTCTGACTTAGCTTCCGACCTGGTTTCTCTGATGTAACCCTCAGACTGGTATCTCTAACCTGGTGACTCAGCCTCGGACTTGGTATCTTTAATTCAACTCCCAGCTTGTATCTCTAACTTAACCTATGACCTGGAATCTCTAAATTAACCTGTGACTGATATCTCTAACTTAACCTCTGACCTACTCTGACCTAGTATTTTTATCCTAACCTCTGATCTGGTATCTCTGACTTAACCTCTGACCTAGTATCTTTATCTTAACCTCTGATCTGGTATCTCTGATTTAACCTCTGAACTGGTATCTTAAACTTAACCTTTGACCAGGTATCTCTGTCCTAACATCTTACATGGTATCTCTAACTTAACCTCTGACCTGGTATCTCTAACTTAACCTGCTACCTGGTATCTCTAACTTAACCTCAGACCTGGTATCTTAAACTTAACCTACGAACTGGTATCTGTAGCTAAACTTGTGACCGGGATATCTCTAACTTAACCTGCGACCTAGTATCTCTAACTTAACTTGTGACCTGGTATCTCTGACTGAACCTCTGACCTGGTAACTGAAATTTAACCCGTGACCTGGTATCTCTAGCTAAACTTGTGACCCGGATATCTCTAACTTAACCTGCGACCTAGTATCTCTAGTTTAACTTGTGACCTAGTATTACTGAACTTGTGACCTGGTATCTCTAACTCAACCTGCAACCTAGTATCTCTAACTTACTCTGTGACATGGTATCTCTAACAACCACTGACCTGGTATCTCTGTCTTAGCCTCCAACCTGATATCTCTAAACCACCAACCTGATATCCCTAACTTAACCACCAATCTGATATCTCTAACTTAACCCCCACCTGGCACAGATTTAACATCTCCATGGAAGCTGAGTTGCAGAACTCTCTTTTGCACCAAAAACCACTGT